CCGCACTCCGCCGGGTTCGTCCGTCAGCCTCTTGAGGCGCCGGCCGCGTACTGAGTGCGGCAGACCTGAGCGGCAAGCGTCTCTTCGTTTGTCCTGCCGTGCGGGTAACTGCAGGGAAATCGTGTGCGATAAAGCGTATTGACGGCGTTTGTGGGAAAGGGGTCAAACAGGGCACGCGTGCTAAACATGGATGAAGATGACGAGGAAGACTACATGTCCGATTTATTTATTAAGTAAGTAGGTGGCTCTTTTTTCTCCCTCTGATTGTAAACATGTAAAAGAAAAAAAAAAAAACTGGTAATGTTTGCGTAAATTAACTCTTAGACAGGATGTGAGGCCGGGCTTGCCTATGGTGAGGCGGATGAGGGAAGCTATTCAGAAAGAAGAAAAGCAAAAAGCTGCCAATGAGAAGAACAGGCAAAAGAGTATAAAAGAAGAAGAGAAAGAGAGGCGTGACTTGGTGTTGAAAAGTGCATTGGGCAATGAGAACAAAGGCTTTGCTTTGCTCCAGAAGATGGGCTACAAGAGCGGCCAGGCCCTCGGCAGAAGCGGTAAGCTTGTCACTGCCTGGAAGCGTGTGCCTATGTTCAGATGTACCTTTATAATTTACAGACTGTAGCTGCCACTTCATTTGTAGACAGGGTCAATAAATGTCTGAGAGCCCTGGTGTTACTGAACTGTGATTGTGTTGTGGCAGAACAAAAGATGAGAGCAAATCTCTAAAAACTGAAATAAAAATGGTATGGACTATCGAGAGATGAGAGGGAAGCAGCAGTACTTGCTGCAGTTCCATATGTGCATGCCTACAGGAATGGCTTTAAGGATGTTTTGATGGTCCTGCAAAGCTAATAGTGCTCCAAAAAAAGTCAGCCCCTCTCTGAATTTATAGTTGGATTCTGAAGAACAAATGGTGCACACGTGTCTTTAAGAAGCTGTAATAGATGAAGTAAAATTACTGAAAGCATCAATAACTGCTGTGCCAGTTCAGCGTGTCTCTAGCAGTCAATTGGCAAATGAACTGGCCCAGACACATTCATTTTATTCTTCATCTTTGTCAAAGTGTGAGACTTTATAATGAGAAATGCTACAGAAGGCTGTAACAAAGCAGTCTTCATCACAGGTGTGTTATACTTGTCAACACTTTGAGTTGTGTAGTATCCTGAAAAAAGGAGACAAGCCAAAAAAAGTGAGGGAGTTCCAGTTCAGCTGGGTCCTTTGTAATGCACTAAATGTACACTGATCTGGGATTTTTCACCTTCCAAGCAACAAAATCACAAGAAAATGTACATAATTAATGGCAAAAGCAGCTTGCTTACTTGAGTATACTGCCCAAATCATAGTTTGAGAAAGACACGATTTCTTAAATTGTCCTCTTTTTTCCCCCTCACAGGAGAAGGCATTGTTGAACCTATTCCTTTGAATATAAAAACAGGTTTGTGATACTTCCTAATTTCCCTAGTTGGGTGTCAGAGCTTCTCAACTGCTTACATTCATCTTTCGAACTTACGTAGGCAGAAGTGGGCTTGGTCACGAGGAATTAAAAAAGCGAAAAGCTGAAGAAAAACTGGAAAACTATAGGCAAAAACTCCATATGAAAAAACAAGCAAATGAACAAGCTGCAGATCAGTTCAGGTAAAATGAAGTAACTGATATTCCAAGCAATGTCTAAACAACGATTCTTTGTATGCTTTAAGTTTGGTTATTCTTGTAATGTGTTACTGTTTTTGAATGTTTTGAATGAGAGGTAAGAGTTGAAATACAGAGTAATTGTTTCTCCATTCTAAAGCAAAAGCAGGTGAACACTGTAATGCTAAAAATGTGCGCTGCCTCCTTTATTTTTGTAAATGTTAATGCCAACAATACAGATACTAACTTTTCTCAAGTCATTTGCAACTTTTTAAATCAGAGAACTGTGTTCTCTTTTTTAATATAAAATCTACAGGTAATCCTGAGCAATGTTGCTACAATAGTTTTAAAAATCAAGGTAAATTTGTTTAGGTTCTATTGTTTTTATTTCTCCTTACTTGCTTGTTATAGGTGGAAAAGGAAAGCCTAGGGAAGGCTGTACCTTTTGCAGATGTTTAGTGAACCACTTTTTTCATGTCTTGCGAAAACCTGATGAGGAAACAGTGTTCAGTGTAGTGTGATCAAAAAAGCACTGACATGAAGGTATTCAAGATGATTACATGTGTGCTTCCACAGAAACAATGTCAGAAGGACTTCTTAACTTCAACTTGTCCTAGTCTGAGAGCATTAGTAGGGCTAGAATCGTAGAATTTCTATTTTTAGAAAAGATGTCGACTATAATGGACTTCACTGTTTGTCTGTCTGCTTTTTTTACCGATGTACTTTTTCTTAACAGAGTAAGATTCAAGAACAAACAAGAAGAACGTAAGATGGAAGGTGACCTCCGAAAAAGCCAGAGGGCCTGCCAGCAGTTAGATAGGCAAAAAGTGAGGCTTACATTTTTTTGGGTTAGAAGGAAGGCTTATAGGTTAGAGATACAGGCTACAAACCAAGTAGTGATTCAATTCTTGGAGTTCTCTAAAATTGTGGGTTAACTAGCCTGAAGACTGAAGTGTTGCCACATGTCAAGACCTCTTAAAATATTTCAAAGAATATGTTTGCACCATTTTTATATTTCAAGTTACCAACCTCATGGTAACTTACGTGAGGACATGTGTTAATTTGCATCATCAGAGCTTACCTGGTTTTGCTCCTGCATTCTTGTGGTTACTTTTGGGCTGTTTGCCTATCTTTTAGTAGCCAATGTCAGGCTGTCCTAAATGATGGTGCTGTTTGTCTCCTGTGAGGGAGCAACATCATGACAGGATGGTGTTAGTTGGAAAGAACTCTGGAGGTCATCTTGTCCAACCCCCCTGCTCAAGCAGAGTCACCTAAGGAGGGTTGTCCAGGACCATGTCCAGACAGCTCTTTAGTATCTCCAAGGATGGGGATCATCATTGAGGGAAAAAGCAGATTGCACCAAAGAAGCATTTAACCAAAAGACAAACCCAAAACAAAGTACCTTCCACCTGCAAGGAAGAACATGGGTAATAGCAGTGAACTACTATACATTTTTGCCACTTGAAAACTTCAAGTATTTTTCTTTTCTCTGTTAACCTGTTAGAGGCTAATACCGCCCCACAAGTTCTGCTGAGATTGTCTGGTACGCCTTAGTCTGCTCCAGATGAAGTCGGCTGAATTAGCTGAGATCATCTTTGCTGACTCTTCTTCCTTTAACTTTACCTGAGGCGGATTAGGAAGCACTGTGTGATCTCGTGGTAAAATAACTTGGGGCAGCATGTCTTCAACTGATAAAAAATGGTATCTGTTCTCAGCCTTGGTATGAGATTATGTTGCTGTGTAGCCTTACACATCCTGAACGTAGATAGAACAGAACTTAATGTTAGCATGCATTTACTTGTTTTAAAGAAAGTGAACAGTCCTTCTTGTGGACTGCTGTACTTAGTTTCCCACTACAGCTTTAGTAATTCTTGGTTGTACTATCCAGGAAAGTTTTAAAACCTAACATCTCACCTATTAGAAATTGTTTTTATCCAGTGTCTTACAAGAAAACCTACGAAGACAGATAATTTAAATCCTTCTTTTTTTAAGGATATTGATGTTCCCAAGGAGATTTGGTATTGGCTAGAACCTGAAGAAGAAGACAAAAAGGATGAGGACGACAAGGAAGATGAATGCACAAGCTCAGACTTAAGTGTAAGCTCTGCAACAAAATTAATGGCTTGATTCAGAATGAAATACAATATTCCTTTAAAAAGTATATATGTATACATATGGACATGTATAAAGGATATATGTATGCATGTCATTTGCCAAGCTGTAGTGAATGGCCTCTTTGCAATCTCAGAGCAGTAATTTTTATAGCAGTTACACGATAAAATATAAAACATTAAACCACTGATTTATTGCTCATCTATTTTGAGGCTGATCTTTGGAAAAAGTAGCCTATAAATTAAATTCTAAACATTTTTGTGTTTTAGCCAAGATATGCAAGATCACTTATTTGATCAAAGTTATTTGCATTTGAGTTTTAATTTTGGATACCTCATCTTATGTCTTAGTCCATGAAGCATTTTCAGAAATTACTTAGTGATTCTAAAATTCAGCCTATCTCAACATAGACACAGGAAATTCACATTTTTTGAGAAATAGATTACACAGCTGTTGTTAGCCTTATGGGTCTGATTTGCAGAGATTAAGTGTGAAAAATTCCACCAAAAATATCATTTACTTGAAATAAGGTAGCTAGGTAATATTTTTAGCTCTCTCTTCAGTGCAGGTTTCTTAACTGGAAAGAAGGATGACCAACAACAGACACTGAATTCCCAGAAATTATGAATTCCTGTGCTGTATGCTGCACATTTAGGAAACTTCATGCTTTACTGAGCTACAGTATTGTGTAGCTTTTCCATAGCAACAGGTTAAACAATCTGTTTTAGCAAAGCTAGTAGCTCAAACTGTTTTATGTCCATTACATACCGGCACATATCTCTAGGTATCAGAAAAGCTACGCCTTCTGACTGCCTATTTGAGAGAAGAACATTTCTACTGCATTTGGTGTGGAACAACCTATGAAGGTGAGAGTAAACCGGTCTTGTAAGTGTTATACTTGGCTTACACAGCTAGACTCAAATAGCAGAATATATCCTTTATGTTTCTCTTATTGCAGTCTTTTAAATCTACACAGGAAATTGTCCTTCCAGGCTGCTGATTTCTGCACAAAGCTCTGTGCAATTTGATTTTAAGCCGATTTTTATGTGTTTACATGCACAAAAAACAAAAACCAAAAAAAAACCCAAACCCAAAACGCTAACCAACCATACTGGCATTTATTTGAATTGGAATTCATATTCATTTTGTTTTGAGAAAACAAAATTCAGATATTAAAACTAGTACCATTAAAAAAAACGAGCGCTGGTCCCAATTCCAACCCCTGAGGAACACTTGCAGGTGTTTCTGAAACAGAACACTATCCACAATTAATTTTTTTTTTTTTTCCCCTCTCCTCTGAGCTGGAATTACTCATTTTTTCTCCGCTTATCCTGTAGACCCTGAAGACTTATCTTCAAACTGCCCTGGAGACAGTGCTGCAGATCATGACTGAAGTCCTTCTGAAGGAAGAAGTCCTGGATAAGTACGCATAGTTCATAATATCTTTTAGAAGGTTTGGAGCTGTGTCATACTGAAGAATTCACATCCAAGTATGCAGAAGAATAGTTACGTTGACAGGTTAAACTCACATTTCTGAAGCATCTTAAGGATTTTCTACTCAATGCACAACAGGAATTAAATAGGAATTTAACAGGAATTAAAACTTTGCATTTATAATTGAATGACCATAATTGAGAGGCAGGTTAAGCCTTCCACAGTCTTTGGTTATGCCCTGCCCAACTGAACAACATCAGCTGATAAAATTAGAGTAAAGGAATAAACATTGCCTAGTTACTCTGTTCTATAATGTGTTAAATTTTTTTCATCTTCACAGAGGTGACTAAACATCAGGCTTTTTTTTTTTCCTTACTCTCTTAGACCTACTAGGAAAAAAAAAAAATCTTGTGAAACATTACAGTGATGTTACTTGAGTGCCTGTTTTGCATAACTAAATTGTACCAGATCACATTGTTGGGGTTTGGTTTTTTATATAAAAAATACATTTTAATAGACCTTTTATTTTTTAGGGAACAGCAGTTGCTACTGTAAACAGTCACTAATAGAAAAGTACTGCTGAAGTATACAAATACAATTTAAAAAGTATCAAAAACTACTGGGACAAGCTCAATATTACTTAACAGTAAGAAGGTAAGGGTATTATGGGTGCTCTGTCCAAGAACTGTAAATGATACTCAGCCAAAGTTTGTCACATGTCCATTTTCATATTATGGATGAAAGGGAAGAGGAGGTAGAACTACTGGTATTTTGTCTGTGTCAGGATATCCCATCTCCCGGATCATGACCACTGCAGAGAAATACTAATTAGTCCAGAATAGTGAATGCTCTATGTATCCGAGCCAGGGATCATGTTAGGAAAGCCGAAGCCCTGATAGAGTTAAATCTGGCCAGGGATGTCAAGGGCAACAAGAAAAGCTTGTATAAGTATGTCGGTGACAAAAGGAAGACTGGGGAAACGTGGGCCCTCTCCAGAAGGAAACTGGAGACCTGGTTACCCACAATATGGAGAAGCCCGAGGTACTTGATGACTTTTGTGCCTCAGTCTTCACCAGCAAGTGCTGCAGCCACACTGCCCAGGTCACAGAAGGCCAAGGCAGGGCCTGGGAGAATGAAGAACTGCCCACTGTAGGAGAAGATCAGGTGTGAGACCATCTAAGGAACCTGAAGATGCACGAGTCCGTGGGACTTGAGATGCATCCACAGGTCCTGAAGGAATTGGCTAGGCCAGTGGCTAAGC